GTGGTTATTCCTCCCCAGGTGAAGGACTCTTATCTATCACTTAGTTGTAGGGTGCCCTAAATGGATCTCAAGTTGTATTGTGCATTGAACATGTTTAGCAATTCACTTGCAGAAAACAGTGAAGTGTTGCTCAGTTTTGAGCCCTTAATTGCAACCCTTAGCATTGAAAGCCATTAAAATCTCATCACACTCTTCTTATTGATGCAACCTCAGAAAAAGCAAACTTTGGCATAGGTTGAAGGGTTATTAGGATTTCCCTCCCACACCTAAGGAATTTGGGTTTTTTTAAAGTGTTAAATTACTGTTTTCAGTGAGAAGCCCAGAACCTCTTCTAGTTTTGTACCTACAAGTAGTAGCTAGCTGTCAGCTAGAGCGCATTCTTGTGTGAATGCAAAACACAGACATCCCTCAGTGACTGTCAGGAGGTAGCAGTGGATTGTCCATGTTGGAATTTTGGACAGTGCTGACCACAGGTTTGATCATCTTGAACACGATTCTGATACTGGTCCATGTGTTTGGGTTTTGTGCTGTTCCCAGAATTAGAAGGAAAAGCTCTTGCTGCAGTTTCCTCAGCACTGTCTGTTTATGGGCTGTGTTCTTCTTACCTATGTGGTGATGGTGGATTCCTTCTTTACTTCCTGCTGGAGTTGGAGTGAATACCACAGGCATTTGCTGCAGGCCCGTGTTGAGACAGGTTTACTCTGTTTCCCTTGCATCATCTGGAGTCTTATTGCCACCCTTATACTTTGTCTTCATTTCTCATTCTGTCACAGACTCTAGTGACCACTGCAACCAAAGAATCGGGATCTTGCTGCTTCCTACATTTCCCACCTATTTTTTAAACAACTGTTGCAGAAGAAACATTTGCTTTGAAGCATTAGTGGTATCAGCTGCGTCTTCAAACTTAAATGTCTGTTTCTTGGACAATGGTCCCTTTTATTCAGTCACCTTAAGCTCAACTGGATTAGGAAGTAAAGCCTCAAAGAACAGTGGGGAGAAGGTTTAGCTTTTTCACTATATTTCTGTTTCTTGGATCCTACCAAGTCAAGAAGACTTGCTGGGACTGAAGGCTGTTTGAAACCTCCAAAGTAAGAGTGGCTTTTTAAGAGCCATTTAAAACAATACCAATCTTCTGCTAATTGCTGGCTTTTCTGAAAAGTCCTTTCATGCTGATGCAGTTTGGCAGCATAGTTTTCATTTTCTGTCTTTACTGGGGAGTTACAGGGTTTTGGTTGGTTTTTTTGTTTCTGTTTTTTCACTATTCATGTGTAGCCAGTTTCTGACATCAGCTTGGCTTGTTGCATCAGTTCTGGCTCTATCTTTACAGACCCCAGTATGTTCTATTGTCTTTCACTTCTCTGTCCTTCTAGCATCGTGTTTCTGTGCTCTGATGGGTCTGTTACAGCACTTCGTCCTCTTTAAGAATTCGATAGTGTATTCATAAAAATACTTCTCATTAGAGAGAGTTATGAAAACAAGCAGTTCAGTCTAGATTTAAAAATAAACAGTGAGGTAGATTGTGGATGAGAGTTACAGTTCAACTTCTAAAAAGAAAGTGTGTTCTAGGCTTGGCAGTCAGAAAGCCTGGCTCCATTCCTAATTATAATGTTTTTTGGGTTTTGTTTTTTTTTTTTGTTTTGGATGCAAACTTTAGATCTGATTTAGGAAGATCAATAAGGGATTGTATATGTGACATACAAACTTTTAGGTTCTCTGTTCTGAAGCATTTGCTAGGCAGTGATAAATAGTTGTGACACAAGATTCTCTCTCTGTATTAAAAAAGGATTACCAGAGTGCAGGATTTGAATAAAGCTAAAAATGCTTTTTATAGTTTTCTCTGTAAGTAAGTAACTTCTTCTTTGAGTTTAGACTGTTTTGAATGATTGCTTCTATATCTTTGTGGTTCTATTTACAGATTGGGTACCTGAAAAAAAATGGAGATGGAACTTTATTATTTAGCGTAGTAAATTCGTCTGATCCAGAAGCAGAAGGTAAATGCCGTAATCTTTCAAGCAAACATTTCTAATGTTGAATGTTCTAGCAGATTTTGAAGTCTTAATTGTCTGTACAGATCCTGTGTAGTATAGATGAGGTTTTTTTAAATTTAAAAAATAATCCCCAAACCATTTCCCCAACAGCTATATTTAGTATCTCTAATAGAAGATGGTTCTCTTTGCCTTTCAAATTTTCACTCTTCAGATGCTCTGTTTTACTGATGCTAACAATAAGAAGGTAAAATGATACAAATTTATAAGCACTTATATATTGCTACTACTTTATAGAGAACTTGGAAGACAGGCTTTTGCTCCAAGTACCCTGCAGCATTAAAATCTAGTAGAGAAAAGGTGAATGAAAGAGCTGTGATCCTATGTGAATGTGCAATGAACAGATGCAAATACAGAATAATCATGTATGGGTTTTTTCTTATTTCCTAATTTAAATTATTAGCTAGATCTCAGTTTTAAGTTAATGAGGTTTTGCTTAATTGTTTTTCTTTCATTCCTTGATCTTTTCAGTGGGTTTTTGTTTGTGTTATTACTATAGATTATTTATATTGTCTTTATGCTTACCACTTATTTTAGTTTCGAGCTCAAAATGCAGAAGTTCTGAAAGTTTGTAATGAATGAAATGTCACAGTCTTTATGCTGCTGTATGTCATGTTGATTTAGCACTGCCTCATCTGCACCTTTTGAGATGGGAATTCCTTCACAGCTTACCTCTTGTTGCACGGCCGAATGCACGAACCCTTTTGACTAGTCACATTTGTGTTGATTTTTCCATTGGGAAATAACAAGCCTGTAACTATTACTGTCTAAAAGTCCTTTTCATTTTTCTGCAATGAAATTGAGCTTTTCAGCTGCCATCATGCCCTGACCTATTTCTGAAAAAAACCAGATGATTAAGTGAATGTGATTTAATCCCTCTGAAATCACATCACTGAAAATTTAGACGCTAACAGCAACGGGAGGAGAGCGAGCTTTTGCTGTGTGCTGTTCTGTACTGCTGCCTGATGTTGCTGTGCTCCACAAGCTTCTTTGATTGTTTGTATAGTTAAAGCTAGTTACACTCAATTTACAGCTAATATTATAATCTGAATTTTTGTGGTAGGTTTTTTTTTAATATCCTAGTAAGGTTCTAGGGATAAACTTGCTTTGTAATTGAGCATAATTACCATTAGATTCCATAACAGCCAGAGATTTCAAAAAACTGGAAGTGTCCTAAATGTTGGTAGGACTTTTTGGAGTTTAAAAGCACATTGCAAATTATTTGAGCCACTTTAATTAAGCAGTTCTCAGAACTTTAGAAGAAAGAAATATTGCTATAGCCATCATGGTAATTATCTTAACGAGGTTCTTTACATGGTGTCTGAGTTTTTATAGACAACGTACCACTTAGTCAACGTAAGAAATTGCTTTTATCAGTTCATAATATGTGGACCTTGAATGTTTATGAATCAGCTAGTAAAACAATTCCAGATGCTGCTGCCATACTTTGAAAGTGAAACAACTAAGCAAGCCACAGATCTTGGGAATAAGAGTTGGAAGCATTTAAAACACTGACATTTAAATGGAGAACTTGAATTGGACTACCTATCCTTAATAAAAATGTACAGATTAGAAGACATTTAGCCTTTATGGTAATTGCAGCTTTTAAAAATAGCAACATCTAAATATTCACCATAAATAAATTTTAAACATTAAATACTTTCTAAAAATTATTATCTTCTTTTAAATCAAATTATTAGAGGAAGAGACTCACCCAGTGGATCTGAGTTCACTGTCAAGCAAATTATTACCTGGCTTCACTACACTGGGCTTTAAAGATGAACGAAGAAATAAAGGTAAATGCCAAAGAACATCTTTTAACTTTGTGTTAATTAAGTGTTTGAGCAATTTCTGGATATAAAGTAATTTCAGATTATACCTGTCTCCAAATGACAGTTTACTTGGTTATTTTTATAATATATAATTATTCTATTTACAGCAGAATGCAATTTTAATTAAATTGACTTCTTTGCTTATTAAACATAACTTAATTAGGAGTTTATGGATTAATGTTTTGCCTTATTGTTGTAGCCACACTAGAAACTTTCCAGTAATGGTACTCCTTTTTCTCTGGAGGAAATTATTTTTCCTGAGCAACTGTGCTTTTGGTCATTTGCATTTTTGTATCATATGACAAGGACTTCACAAACTCTGGATTTTTTTCTAGTATTATTGACACTTTTTGATAGTTTCTGATCTGCTCTCCAGCAACTGACTGGCAAACAACAGTCAAGTAGACACATGCAAAAAAGTAGAAACATAGAAGGAAGTGGGGGAATGAATATCTTCTTGTGGGAGTGGGGTGGTTAACTTAGTTCTTTATTTTCCAGTAGCAATATGGTTAAAATAGTTGTTCTGATTCTAGAGTCTGGAAGTGTCCTTGAGATACTGCTCTTGATTTCAGTTGGAGGGAAAAAAAAAACACAGTGCACTTTCTGTATCTGTTTCAGAAAACAATCTTTCTTTCTCCCCACCCTGCCCTCTCCCAAGTGATCTTTTACACTTGTGTTTATCATTTATCCTTTCTTTCTTCTTCCTGTCTAGTAACCTTTCTTACAAGTGCAAGTACAGCACCTTCCATGCAGAACAACTCTATATTTCATGATTTGAAATCAGATGAAATGGAACTCTTGTACTCAGCGTATGGTGATGAAACTGGGATACAGTGTGCCTTAAGGTAAGCGCTTCCTGAACTTCTCACAGCAATACTGTGAACAGCAATTTGGACTAAACATCAACTAAGAACCTCCAAGTCCTGATATTTTTTTCCAAAATTTGCTTTAAAAATAAGTCACTATAAAACTTGAAGCAGGCTTTCAGTTGGTTTGTTTCTTTTGTTGTTTTGTTTTTTTTTTTTCCTTTTGCACTTTTAAGTTACCCTATTTTATTGCAAGGCTGTTACAGGTCTTTGACCACAGGATTTTATAGGTTGCTAAAGATACAGCATTTTGCTTTAAACCCAGCACTAAGTAGGTTTAGATATGTAAGTAATAGATTTCAGTGACTTTAAAACAGTGATATTTTTCAAAGAATCTCAAAACAGTTAAACCTACTTGGTTTTTTTTTTGTTTGTTTGTTTTACCCACTACCAATGATAATTCAAGTGAAAATTTGCTGGTAGTTGTGAAAAACAAGTTTGCACGTACATTCACTTCCATTAAAAAAAAAATATATACAAAAAAACCTCCCCAAAACCCCCCTACCCCTATCTTGAAGGCCTTAATTGCTTTTCTGAAGAAGTATGAGAGAGTAAAAGAATAAGGGAAATGTAGGTGTAATGCAGCGTAGTTGGAGGGGGGGGCAACCAAGTTGAAATATTTTTTATGAAAGTAAACATTTTCTGTAATGTGTACATCTCCATTGCTACTAGCTTACAAGAATTTGTCAAGGATGCTGGAAGTTACAGCAAGAAAATAGTAGATGATCTTCTGGACCAGATCACTAGTGGAGATCATTCCAAAACTATTTATCAGCTAAAGCAGGTATGTCCTTGACGTGCAGAAATGTTACAAGTTCATCAGAATAACAACAGACCTGGTTGTGGTTCTTAATATCGTATGAGATGCTTTGTTTTCCACCCTCAGTTTAAGCAGTGCAGGCTTAGCTGTTCATGCAACCATGTGGTGAACCAAATTAGAAACAGAATTAATCAGCAGAGAAGGAATCTTCTGTCTGTTCTCCAGCTAGATCAATTCTCCAGTGTGGTTCACTGCAGAAAGGAAGAGGCAGGGGGGTGCAACATAGCAGGGGAGGAGAAGGTACCAACCAAGCGAATGGTGTTTGGGCAGCCCTGGCACTCAATGTCATCACTTACAGATTTGCTTCCGAGTTATACTGCAATGCTTTTGTTAAGGAGTTTGGGTTTTTTTCCCTTAATTTAAATGCAAAATATATTCCTTGTGGAAGGATTAATTATTTGGAACATTGAAATAATATTGGAGAATAGATTAATTACTGTACAGCTCTCTATTACCCAACAGTGCTGACTTTAAATTAGAACTTCTAACTTATTTCCAAAAGCCCTTGACCTAGGAGATTCATACTAGGACTGGAGAAGATATTTTTCTCTGAAGTGTATATAATTCTAGTGGGAATGTTTGCATTCCCAAGACAAAGTAGACTACTGGAAGCTGCAAAATCTTGTTTCATGTTATCTTCACTCTGAAAACCACACTCTCAGTTTGAAATAATTGTCTGCTGTTTAAAATGATGACATGCAGAATGATTCAAGAATAAAGAGGGGCAGGGGAGAGAATGGAAGGTATTCAGACCTCCTGATATGGTTGAAATCAGATTACACTGTATCTTTGCAGACTTAGAAGTAGAATAGAATGGGTGACATTTGGGGAAAAGGGGATGATAGAATGAAATATAGAGGATCCTTCAGGATTTTCTGGGTATTTTTTTCCAGTCCCTACTGGAAAAAAGATTGTTTATGAAACAGGAAGAAATGTAAAGGATTAGTTCAAAAAAATTTGGAAATTCGAAAAGCTCAAAAACAATAATTTGAATACTTTTCTACTTCTAGAAATGGGTATATACAACACATTTAACTTAGCCTTGAAATAAAACATGTGCCTTTCGCTTTTTGCCACCCTGTTCTATGAATATTGTTCCAAATAAGAATTTCTGAACATCTGTCAGATGGGCAGTGGCTATCTGCCTTCCAGAGTGCTGTTCAGGTTTGACATGTGTGGATATGTACAGATTTTGTGCAATGAAATGTGTTTCACTGACCATGTGCCACGGTGTTTTATGTGTGAGTATTTTGTGCTGCTACATCTGAGTAAGAATGAATGTCTTCAAAAGTGTAGCCTTAGATGGTTTTGAATCAGAAGTTACTGAAGTAATGACTAAGGTACTGCACTTAAATATAAAGTTCATGGGGAGAAGAAATAGTGTGAGGGGACTCAAAGGTTAGTTAAAATGCATAATACTAAAATCATAGAATGGTTTGGATTGGAAGGGACCTTAAAGCTCATCCAGTTCCAACCCCCCTGCCAGCAGCAGGGACACCTTCCACTAGACCAGGTTGCTCAAAGCCTCATCCAACCTGGCCTTCAACACTTCCAGGGAGGAGCAGCCACAACTTCCTTGGGCAACCTGTTCCAGTGTCTGACCACCCTCACAGTGAAGAATTTCTTCCCCAGATCTAATCTAAACCTCCCCTCTTTCAGCTTAAACCCATTTCCCCTTGTTTTGTCATTAACTGCCCTTATGAAAAGTCCCTCCCCAGCTTTCTTGGAGCCCCTTCAGGTACTGGGAGGCCGCTATAAGATCTCCCCGGAGCCTTCTCTTCTCCAGGCTGAACAGCCCCAACTCTCTCAGCCTGTCCTCACAGCAGAGCTGCTCCAGCCCTCGGATCATCCTGGTGGCCCTTCTCTGGACTTGTTCTAACAAGTCCATGTCTTTCTTATGTTGGGGGCTCCAGAACTGGACGCAGTATTCCAGGTGGGGCCTCACAAGAGCAGAGTAGAGGGACAAAATATTTCAAAACAGTGAGCGTTACGTTGTAATTGCATTACAGACATGTGAAAAAAGAGGCTGTCTCTAGCCTCCTTTTGTGTGTGCAGTTTGAATATACTCAAAATTGGATAAGAGCAAGGTCTTTCTCTTATATTGAATAAAAATAATTGTTAGTATTCTTTCCTTCCAGAGGCGAAACATCCCAGTAAAACCACTGGATGAAGTTAAAGTAAGTTATGCTGATATTCAGCCTTCAGTTTTTTTAACTGAAAAAAAGAAGTGTTTTGGCATTTAAAGAAGAGAATGTTCTCTGAGCTTCTGATTTCCTCATTTTATTTAATGTGCATCTGTTCTGTATAATAATACAAAAAAGCTTGAGAAGTGGAGTATCAGATAAAGAAGGGGCTGTTAGGTTAGTCCTAAAGAGGCTGTCCTAAGAGGCTCTCTGGTTAGTTCTAAATTGTTTATGGGGATGTGTATGGTCACCCATTAGACAAGAGCTGGTATCTATTTTTAATTTTTTTTTTTTTTTAAATGATCTATGCAGCCATCACAAAACATGATGGTGTTCTGTGGGGGCCAGGATCTGACCATGGGAAACCACAAACTATGAGTATTCTTTGGAAACATAAGTATAAGCTGTGAAATGCTGAGATCTAAAATATGATTTGGTTCTTTAGGTTCTGCCAGTTCTCATAAAAGAAGAACACAAGTTGCGTAATACCTGTCCGGATTCTTCCAAACAGATTATGGTAAAATGGTTTGTGTGTTTAAAAAAAACCCAAACAAACAAACAAAAAACCCCACTACAACCACAAAAACCCCCAAACCAAAAAAAGGGAGTATTGAGACATTCATTTTGTTTCAGTACTCTGGGGTAGAAAATTAAAATGAGATTATCTAGAATAAGCTTTCAGTACTTGGAGTGAGTGTCACAGAATCCATTTTATTTTAGTTAGTGCCTTTGTTTGTCCTGCTGTTCTGTGTTCTCTAGTTTAATTCACATGCATAACTAAATCTCAGAGGCAGAAAGACCACTTAGGAATCTGACAGATACTTTATGAATACTGCTGATGAATATTTGAGGTTCAACCTGCTGTAAAAGTGGATAAAACCAGTACTATTCATCAGTTCTATGCATCCATTGAAAAGGTCTGTTAGAAAGTAGGGGTAGATAATGCATATCCTAGTGCTTTCACAGCTACTAATTAAATCTTTCTTTAAGTGGTACAGGTTTTATCTTGCACATTATTTATGACAACAGAAGATAGGCACTGTATTCCATGACAATTCACATAAAAATTGTATGGATTACATTATAGCAACTCAAAAAATGTATAGTTTTATGAATATTCCTTATGTTTTGTGGAAAGTTTTGTGTTTCTCTAGAAGCTGACTAGTTAATTCATGAAAGTGATGAGTTTAATTTTCATATTTCTAAAATATAACACCTGGTTGTATATTTACCTGCATGTCTTACGCCTCAGAATAGGCAATCTTGGAGAATTCTGTTAGAATGTGTTTTGAAGCTTAACAGTTTTTACATCAATCTCTTTTTTGCCATTACATAGCAGTATTGCAACAGGTTTCACAGAATCACAGAATGTTGGGGATTGGAAGGGACCTCAAAAGATCATCCAGTCCAACCCCCTGCCAGAGCAGGAACCTAAATGAGATCACACAGGAAGGCGTCCAGGCGGGTCTTGAATGTCTCCAGAGAAGGAGACTCCACACCCTCCCTGGGCAGCCTGTCCCAGGGCTCTGTCACCTTCACCGTAAAGAAGTTTCTTCTCAAGTTTAAGTGGAACCTCCTGTGTTCCAGCTCACACCCATTGCCCCTTGTCCTACCATTGGGCATCACTGAGAAGAGCCTGGCTCCATCCTCCTGACATTCACCCTTTATATATTTATAAACATTAATGAGGTCACCCCTCAGTCTCCTCTTCTCCAAACTGAAGAGCCCCAGCTCCCTCAGCCTTTCCTCATCAGGGAGATGCTCCACTCCCTTCATCATCTTGGTGGCTCTGTGCTGGACTCTCTCCAGCAGTTCCCTGTCCTTCTTGGACTGTGGGGCCCAGAACTGGACACAATATTCCAGATGCGGCCTCACCAGTAGCACAGGCTGTATTTCATTACCCAAATGTGTAGAAAAAAATACTTGAGACACCAGCTCCAGCTGACACTGTGTAAGAGGAGGCCCACCTTACTGGTTTTGTTAGTCACATACTAAAAATGTCAGTAAATCCAGCATTGCCTTGAGAAGGTGAGAGAAAAGGGGATCTGGGAGCAGTTCATGATGGGTGATACTGGTAGTGCTTCTCCTATGCCGGGCTTCTGCCATGGGACAAAGATGAGTGGAGCATGTACTTGAGTCCCAGAGGATTCAGTAATGTTAGTTTCAACAGTGTCTGATGTTGAGATAAAAGATACCTAGACTGCCTTGCAGGCCCCTTGCCATTTGTGTGACTGGTCTGTCCCGGAACCATGTTTGAGCTGCCTGTGACTTGCAGGTTGGCCAAGATGGTTATGGATGCTCCTGTCTTAAGTGTTGTGGTGCACACTTTTGAGAGTTTGGATTCCTGTGTTCACCTGAAACGTTAAAAAGTTGTTATGACAGCTTGTCACTACTGCTAGTCTTTTTGTTTCTTGTGTTTTAACAGGTTGGAGAATCTGCCGGAGATAGTAACACTTCTGACTTGGACTTTCTCTCTATGAAACCATATTCAGATGTCTCTCTTGATATTTCTATGCTAAGTTCATTAGGTAAGTAATTAAATATACAAGCCATCGATTCTGGTTTAGTTGTACCATTTAGGCAAAATAACAGCTGGATTTGCTAAGAATAAAAAAGTGTTCAAAAAGTAGTAATAAGCCTACATTTGACATAGGTAAAAGTCTAGGTACAAGATAGGTGAAACCTTGGTCTGTTTTTCCTTTGAGACATCCAGGTACTAGCCAAGCTCACTTGTCTTGTACCACTAAAGAAACCAAAGTATTTTACCTGACAACTTTTCTAGTTTTGCTTGGTTTTTTATGTGTTCATAGTAACGTAAATTTTAAGAATCAGCGTGGAGCTTTTGGCTCAGAAATGTTCTTGCTTCATGTGTCATCTTTTGAAATAACTTGGGAAGTAGGCAAGTAAGTGAAGCTCAGTCATGTCACTACTTGGAATGTCCCAAAACAAAAATCAGGAGAAACTTAAGGTATTGAAAAGACTTTAGCTTCAAATAAGGCAGTTGTCTAAAAGTATCAGGATGTTGTTTCAAATGCACATCTTTGATAGGTACCCATAGGTGTCCTTCTTCAAATACTACAAGAAGTAACGTGCCCCTTTCTGCAGGCTGCTGAGCTGGTCAAATGTCTTTAAAATGTCATCACCAAAAAAAAAAAAGACTGCTTATGTTTTAAGATACTTTTAATTCAGAATGTGAAAGATGTCAAACTATCAATTATAAAACATAACCAAGGTAACTGAAAGCTTAAAGAAAAAAAAAAGATTTCTTCCACAGATGCAGTATTCTTTGAAAAGCAATTGTAAGTTCTGGTAATGCTGTCACACACTAATTTTATTGGAGTTCAGTAAAAAATTAATAAATACGTTTTCTAGTTAATGCTTAGACATATCAGTCTTATTATTAATTTCTTGTTCCACTGAAAGCTGCTTATATTTTTCTTCTTTGATCTTTCTGTAAATAATTATACTTCTAGATTACTTAGTTTCCAGAGACAGTTTAGGGCATTATTTTTTATTGTATTTCTTGCAAAGTTAGCAAGATCTGCATTGAAGACAGTCCAAAGGGAAGGGAAAGTGTTTATTTTCCTGTTTAAAGTTGAGGGAGAGTTTTGTTTTGTTTTGTTATTAAGTCTTTAGACAAAAGAACAGCGTATGTTGGCACACGCTTCCAGTTTTTTCCAATTTCACAGTTTTATTTGGCTTACTCTAAAATCAGTGTAGCTGGAGAAGATACTGTTCTTAAAACCTTAAAACCTGATGGGGATTTCTTTACCTCCATAAATTACATGTTCTATTTTAACTATATTTTGTTAGATATTTAAGTAATCTATCTACTGGCTTCCTCTCCTTTGCTGCAGACTAAATGCATTGTTTCATGTCTGGAGTTTAACAGATGAAGACAAATTAAGCTCTTAAAACTGTTTAAATACTGGGAGTCAGTTCAGTTTCAATCATTTCCCATGGTGCTCTCCTTCATCCTCCCAAGTACATTTCAACATGTATTTCTTGAAACTGAAAACAAATAAACAGATCTGCAGCTGTTGACTTTTAGAAGTGAAGGAAGTTGAAAGGCTGAGGTCTTCTGTGTAAGAGAAAACACTTGTGTTAATTTAGTCTAGAAATTTTTTTTATAGTGACTTGGTAATTCCTGAGTCAATCTGCATGTGCTAATTATGGGTTTTGGTTGGTCACTGGTGGCCCTTAGGGAAAGTGAAGAAGGAGCTTGATCATGATGATAACCATTTACATCTGGATGAAACAACGAAGCTGCTGCAGGACCTTCATGAAGCTCAGGCAGACAGAGTGGGATCCCGGCCATCATCCAATTTGAGTTCCCTCTCCAATACTTCTGAAAGAGACCAGCATCATCTCGGTAAAGTGACCTGTGTCACAGAAGTTGCAGTACTTCTGCTCTAATTGAAACTGGTTAAAACTTACACTGTAACTGGCATAAATCTTTCCACGAAACTACTCTGATAAAACCATGGACCAGTGAGAACAAGTCCAGAGAAGGGCCACCAGGATGATCCGAGGGCTGGAGCACCTCTCCTATGAAGACAGGCTGAGAGAGTTGGGGCTGTTCAGCCTGGAAAAGAGAAGGCTCCGGGGAGATCTTCTAGTGGCCTCCCAGTACCTGAAGGGGCTCCAGGAGAGCTGGGTAAGGACTTTTCATAAGGGCAGTTAATGACAGAACAAGAGGAAATGGGTTTAAGTTGAAAGAGGGAGGTTTAGATTAGATATTAGGAAGAAGTTTTTCACTGTGAGGGTGGTGAGACACTGGCCCAGGTTGCCCAGAGAAGCTGTGGCTGCTCCTCCCTGGAAGTGTTGAAGGCCAGGCTGGATGAGGCTTTGAGCAACCTGGTCTAGTGGAAGGTGTCCCTGCTGATGGCAGGGGGGTTGGAACTGGATGATCTTTAAGGTCCCTTCCAATCCAAACTGTTCTGTGATTCTATGAAAACAGCGTACTGACTACAAGATCATGTTTTAATTTTTAAATATACATGGCAAAGGCAACTAAGAAGACATAACTTTTGACCTGTGGAATTAAGGACATTAGTTGTAGTTACTTCTTTTTTGATTAGACATAATTGAAGTAATTGTGAAGTAAATTGATGCTGACTGGCAAATCCTTATATGCACTTGCATGTTATGGTCTTAGAAATCCTAAGGAGTGTAGAATCTTTATTTTACTTTGGCATAGTTGTATACAGCCAGTAACAGGTGGGATTCCACAACAGCCTCCCATTGGCAACTGTAAAATTCAGTGATGAGACGGGACGATAATGTGCCACTTGACAATTTGGTGCCATTTCTGAGGAGGTAGGATATGTTTGTTGGATGATACTTGGTCACAGTTTGTATAATTTTTAACTCAGTAATAGAATAATGACTGCTTTTTCAAAAAGAATCTAAATTACTTAAGTGTCTTGTAATTTCTTTTTTAAAATCTCCTGTTTAAATGTCTGTCTTGCTTTCAAAGTCTGAAAGGAACATGTGAAATAACCATGCTGTTTATACAGGTAAATATGTCTTCACTATGTTTCTGTACTTTTAAAGAGTTTGATTTATTTTTTTTTTCCATATTCTACAGGAAGCCCTTCTCATCTGAGTGTTGGAGAACAGCAAGACATGGTTCACGATCCTTATGAATTTCTTCAGTCTCCAGAAACCTCAAATGCCACTACTAACTAATCTGATGTGTACTATACATATTTTGTATTTTAATTGTATTATGTTTTTATAAAGTTTCTGTCTGTGGCAGAAACCTCAATTTTGTCCTCTTTTCTATGAGGATTCCTGTATAATATTATGATATATGCTGGATTAAACAAAAGAAAAATACCTTAGTACATCATGTTGTTATCAGTCTGCCAAAACCTGCTTTTCATGTGCTTGTTGAGGGAGGTTGTTGTCTACTGGTGTCTCAGTCTTGACTGAAAACCAACAAATAATGTGTTAGAAAAACTTGTATTTTATAGAAACTTAAAAGTGATCATTTTCCCAGGTAATTTTCCCAGTATCGTGGTAGCAGTCATGAAATGTTTCTAGTAGAATTATCTACCTGTTCAGGTCTTATCTTGAACATCTTCAAGGAGGAATATTTTATTTCAGCAGTGGCAGAACTGCACAAATTGTTATCATTATTATGTTTCCCATCTCCTAACCCTAATAATCTGTAGAAGTTGTTTCTGTTTCCCTGTATTTTAAAATATTTTTAAAATCACTTCAGGGAATACTTAATCTGAGAGTAACAATACTTAGTTGCATTAAAATGCTTACTACAAGAATTCTACCCTGGATCTAAAAAATAAGTATGTTTTTGTGACCCCTTGTGTCTTGAGACACAAAGAAAATATAAGTATTATATTTTTTTAATTTGTGTTTACTTGATGGAAAAAAATAAAGTGTACTTTTCAGTAATTTTAAAATAGAACTTTTATAATTCATTACTGATGTAACCGAGCAATTTTGTACCATTGATATGTGCAAGCTGTACAAATTTTATTAATTTACATTATTTTGTAAATATTAATAAAAATACAAAACCACTTTTGATGTTTGCAAATACCATGTTCTTGCTAGGAGAAAACTTGCTTCCCTGTCTTTTACTAAGTCTGAAATACTAGGAGGTTCTGGTCTTGAATTTTTGTGCTGCTTGGGAAGATAAAATGTAGCTGTCAGCAAAGATCCCTGAATTTCTAGGAACCAGCAAGGAAGTCTGGCAGATAACTGGAGTCAAAGTCTCAATAAAGTCTAAATAGGAAGATCTGCTCATTCAGACCAGGTATTTGGACTGTTTCATCTCCCTCCCTCTCCAAGATCCCTCACCTCCCTGCTCAGGGATACACGTGTTCTGTTTGGCTGTTGTGTGCTGTGTTATGTTCAATCCGCTGCCGTTTCCCCTCTGTGCACTAGTTGGCTGCTTTTTCTGTTGCCACAGATTACTTGTGGGACTTGCACCTGACCTGGATCAAGATCATCTGAGTTTCACGCATTCTTCTTTCCTTGCCCCCTAGTCAGTCAGTTTTGGAAAACAATTAAGGCAGCAGTGGCCCACCTAAAGGCTGGAAAGAAAGGATCAGGAAACTGACTGGATTTTGATATAATACTTTGATAAATCAGGTAAGTATCTTACCTGTGTCAGACTTTTTTGATACAAGGTGGATTTTTTGTTTGTTTTTTCGTTGGGTTTTTTTTTCCAGTTCATCCTGAGGTGAAAAGTTGTAGACACATAGTGTATTTGCTGGCTAATAGTGCTATTTATCTGCTACAGCTTTAAATGTTGGCGAGTATTTTTACTCAGTAGTTTGCATGCTCTTTGATTTTTTTTAATTTTTATTTTATTTTATTTTATTTTATTTTTTACAGTGCATACATTGTATTGGTCAAGAAAAGTTGAGATGGCCCAGCTAGAATGGGCAGGAGGAGCACTGGTAGAGGTCATAGCAGAGCTAAGGTACTAATCACATGAATTATTGAGGGTTGATGATTACTTTTCATAGAATCACAGAATGGTTTGGGTTAGAAGGGACCTTAAAGCTCATCCAGTTCCAACCCCCCTGCCAGCAGCAGGGACACCTTCCACTAGAGCAGGTTGCTCAAAGCCTCATCCAGCCTGGCCTTGAACACTTCTGGGATGTTTTTGGAGAGTCAGACTAAACTGAAATACTACTGTATCATAGGTTTTGTTTAGCAATGGAGGTTCAGATTTAACATTTACATTTAGGTTGCCATTCAGACACCACACCCATCCCAAAGAAATGCCAAACTTTCCCTGTTAACGTTACTAGAAGGATCCTGTGCCAGCCGTAAAGGATTGGGTTGGTTCTAGGCTTGGTTTATGAAAAATTGTTAAAGCAAGACATGAATCAAGGGGGATATGAAATCAAAAAATAGCATCTTTTGAAACCAAGAGGACTGTGTTTTACAAGCAAATGATTTTGATCACATCTTCATGTTTCTCTTCGGTATTTCAAAATTCATGGGATCTCTCTCCTTACAGGTTTTCAGCTCTCAGCATGACAAGGTCCTGAGCTAGCTTTGAAGCTCACTTGGACTGAAGCAGGAGGTTGGACCCCCAGAGGTCCCTTTCAGCCTAGCTTTTTTAATCTGCTATGACCATGAGATCATCCTCCTGAAAGGACCTGAGATGATAGCCTTCTGGAATAGCTTTCTATGAGAAATGGTAAGAAACCTTTGGGAAATGCATGGAGAACATAGTTATCTTCAGCTTAGTTTTACTACATTGAGAAGGCAAGAACTCCAGTTTTGAGTAGGACAGATGGAGAAATCTGGTCTAGGTAATAATTGTACTGAGAATGTGGGTATTGACTGGTAAATGCTGTTGAGAAATATTTAATCTTTAGGATTAAAGATTAGATGAAATAAGTTTAGAAATTTTAAAGGGAAGATAACCTTGTATGGTAACGTTTTGATAGGATAACTTCAATCAGTCATAGTTTTTCATAGTCTACATGGGCGAGTCCAGGGAAAGATGACAGGTTCCACGGAAATACTATTTAAATATTCATCTCAACTGCTAAACTGTTTCCACATATGGGTGAGAATATCTCTGATGCTACTAGGAACTGTACTTATTATGGAAAATTTGGATTTTCCAAAAAGGTTAGAGAACAGTTTTTGTTAATGATAGCTAATCCAGACAGTTCTGGCTGAAATTTCTACTAGTTTTTTTTCACTGAAGAATTACTGAAGCCAACTGTTTTGATTGCTACTTTAGGCTTGATCATGATGAGTCATAGAAGAGACTTCTTTAGGATATTTTTGGGCTGAAGAAGCATGACTTGATTTAACTTGAGTAAAACAATAGGGTAGACAAGAGAGTTCTGTCTCTGGGAGAACAGAAAGTAAATTTGTTGCACTTAACCATGACCCATCTGGAATTTAACTGGGACATTTACAGTCCCTAACAAAGGTTCTGTTTTGCAGGAAGATAAACTTTGGTAACGGGAGACAGTTGGTCTGCTGAGCTCAGCAGCTTGAATTTTGTGAAGATTGGGAAGACACTGAAATGGTCGAGAATCTGAACAAAAGAGGAAAGTCTCTGTTCAGACCTCTTCATTCCCAGGATCCTTATAGAGGCTGTTGAGAGTATTTGTAAGAAATACAATGATGAGTAAAGGTACTGGTTGGAAAAAGTAAGGAAATACAAACCAGTATTACCAATGAAGAAGTTGATTTAGAACTTTAAAAGATACTGAAACAAGTTTAATTAGTCAAAGTACATTACCACAGGGTTCTCAAATGGAGGCAATGAGAGACCAGCATTCTGTGGCATGTTCAGGGTTGACCTCGGTGATGCACAGGTCTGTAGCATAAGCTGTTTTCATATTTACTTTCATATTTATCTGTTTTTAAAATTGTTAGCAAATGGAGCTTGTGGATGGAGCTGTGCTTTGAAACATCCCTGTGCAGCTCAGCTGGAATGGAGTGTTTGAGCTTCCCTGTGCAGGACACTTGCAGCTGGGTGGTGACTGCTCTCTGGCATTCTGCTCCTGCTCTAAAAGCACACTTCTGCCTTCAGGGAAATGCCCCAACACATCTGATGTTGGCAGGTGGTCTGAACTCCATCCAGTGCTGTGGATGATTCAGGGAGCAGCATACTCCTGGGATCTTTCTTCAGCAGCGTTTTCTTCATTCACCACAGGAGCTCCAGAATCTTCACAGGGTTGCTAGACCTGCCCAGCACCAGGTCAGCAGAGGTCTCTGCCAGCCCCACCTCCAGCTTTTCTGCTCTGCTCTCAGTCTCCTCTATGCTCACAAGACTTTCAGGAGGAGCTGGGCCTTCTTACAGTCTGAGGAGTGAGCTCGCAGGTCCTGTGAGAAGAAGTGGTGAAACAAGCAGTAAGAGCAAATCAACCACGTCCCGCCTGCGAAGCAGTGGGTGCCATGCTCTGCCAGCACGGGTTCTCCTGGGACAGTGTTGCGTGTTCTGCTCAGCTTCATTTGCAAGTACATATTCCTTTGTTTCTTTGTAGACATTGCACTGTGTCAGTTGTGTCAGCTGAGGAATCCTGATGCAAAGGAAGTGGCCACGTAGGGCAGCATTGCACGTTCTTTGCACCTACACTGGTGTCTGCGTCAGGGTATGGAGATCTGTCTTGCTCCTCCATCCACGTGATAGATGGGAAAAATAAAAGGTAACGTTAGGAACAGTTGTTTGACAAGGAGAATTAAAGTCTTAACAAAGAGAAGTTTTGCTCCAATCTCTGCTCTGTTTCTTTATTTCGTGTTGGCAGGCGCTAGAAGTTTAACCCTGAAATTCATCTCTGTGTGTCTGCATCTTGGAAGATGTATGTAATTATGTAATGGTGTTGATAGATTTGGATGTTGTCATGAATCCAATTCTTTTTTTTGTCCCCTTAGGTGATTCCCTTAGGATCACCCAGAAACAAGGTGATTAGCTATTGAAATGTGAAATAAGGGTATTTTTTTAGGATTTGTTTGCTTGATTAATACTTTTTTTTTCCCCCTTTTGGGAATGGAGAAGATATAACTCAAACTTGAGTACTGTACTTGACTTTTACTATTATGTTTCACTCCCCACACTCAGACTTTTCTCTTCTAATACATTTTTTGGATCCGAAGTTCATGAAGTGATAACTGGTGTGGAAGGAATACTCTGTAAAAAATATGACCCGTTTTTGTTTTGGGGGTGTTTTGTTTTTGGTTTTTGGTTTTTGTGTTGGTCAAATTTCTTCTAACTGTTCCTGTATCTAATATATTTTCTCC